TATATAAGTTAAAGTTTAGACGTTTGATATGTAAACATTAGAAATTAAGCAATACCTATGTAAATCTTCCACAAAAAAATTTGTCAAGATTTATGAAAGAACGACTATGCGTTGTATCACTTCGATATTACACCTCAGGATTTATCTTAGTTACCACGAACACACACACACACACGTGTGCGCAATATATTTATTAAGAAAATCTTATAACAGGCTCAATTTAGACAAGTTTGCTCTAATTCAAATGTTAACATGAAGAAGTTGCAAGAGAAGCAGCTCTAGGACCCAACATGGATTTTCCTCACCAAAATTCCTTGTTCCTCTGTTATAACATGGAAAACAGGACTTGGACTAATATATCTACTGGCAGTCTTTGGTATTTGCTTTTTCTTTTTTCTAATTTAATTTATAGAATAGTTTTTACCTCTTTTCACATTAAAAAGAAAATATTAATCAAACAATTCAAATTTTTGATGATGGACTGCAATGATCTCAATGTTTGTTTTATGGCGTATACTGAATCGATGCAACAAACAATGAAATAAACAAAAGAAAAAAACATAGATTTTACGTGAAAAACTCAAGATGGAAAAAATCAAGAGCAAAAGAGAATAATTCACTATATCAAATAAGAGATTACAAGTTAAAACTGTGTTTTATACAAAACATAAGAGGAGATTTTTATAGTTTTAGCAAGACCCTTTAAAGGAAATAATCAAAAGAGAGTCAATAAAGCAATAACGCAACAATTGCAATCTAAAGGTCATTATAAGGTTGATCTGATGGTTGAAACCTTCAATTCTTGTGCTCACGGTTTCCTTCTAAAACATCAATCCACATGATCATAATTTCCTTATGAGATGATAAGTGGGACCCACAAAAATCAGGGCTTAAATTTAACAATCTCCACCTTGACACAAATTTCCAAAGAATTAAGAACATAATTTTGCCAACCTTTTCCACAAAACTCTAATAATCAGGAATGAATACCAAGTTTAAGCAATGCTCAAACTTGCTATTGGAAGTGCTTTAGTCAACATACATGTAGTATTATCATGGATGTTGATCTTGCCCACAACAATATCACCACAACCGATAAGATAACTTCACGAACAAAGTGATAACAAATTTCAATGTGCTTAGTCCAGTAATTGTCACACACTCAGCTTCAGTTTTAGTCAGTGTCACAGTTATTTGTAAAGTAGCCTAAATTTTGGATCGAATTTCATGCGCACAACCAATAATTGTTAGATCGTTAACAACCCTGCTAATGTTTGGGCTATGAATTGGGCGAATTTAGCTCGACGACTGTTAATTGCTAAAAAAATTGATTCCAATTTTGGCTCGAAGTGAGATCAAATCGAAAAAAATGAGTCGATATAAGAGCCTAAATTTGAATCAAATTTCGTTCGAGCCGACCTAGCTCGGCTCAAAATTGGATCGTTAGCAACCCTATCTGCAGAATCTGGTTTGACAAATGAAGAGGAATTTGAGTAAGAGTCGTTCTATCATTATGTTGCTAATGAGGACATCTTTTTGAACCCATGTGGTGCATCAACTAGATCCATCTGCTCAAAGACTGCTTGTATCCTAACCTGTCAAAGAGAAAATCTTGTAATGCGATCTAAAAGAGGCATATGGTACTTTATTGTTGCCATCATCGAAATCAAAACTCAACTCTGATACCACTTGATATTGAATCGATGCAACAAACAATGAAATAAGCAAAAAAAAAATCACAGGTTTTACGTAGAAAACCCAAGATGAAAAAAAGCACAAGCAAAGAAGGATAACGCGCTATATCAAATAAGATATTACAGGTAAAGAGTATGTTTTGCACTAAAGAGAAGAGTATTTGTGGTTTCAACAAGACACCTTTAAAATAAATAATTAAATGAGAGAGAATAAAATAATAGCACACGAATTACAATCTAAAGACTTATAAATTTCATCTAATGGTTCAAACCTTCAACCTGCGTCTTCACAGTTTGCTTCTAAAACTTTAATCTGTAGCATCATAATTTACTTTTGAGACGATAAGCAGGACCCACCAAATTCGGGTCACAAATTTAGCAGTTTGTTTCCAGAACACAAAAAATTCTTCTAGATCTGTCAACTAATTTATTTCCAACAAAAACAGGCAAATAGATGAAGTGCCAACTGGTTCATTTTAGGTTTGTTTGGGCTACAGAAATTCTTAAGTCACATGATAAAACATAACGTTCAAAAAAATCCAGCATCTACTATTCAATCAGAATGCATGAATATCAATACAGCTTGAGGCTTCACTTGAGAAACATTGAAACGAAAATAAGTAAAAAATGCCAGGTTAGTAAGAACCAACTTCAGAAAAAAGCAAAAAACAAGGATATTTTATTTTCAAGCATCTTGTATGAAAAAGAAATAATTACATTAAGGGTTTCATAAACTTTATAAACAATATTAATCTAACATTACATAAGTGATGAAGCCTAACAAGTGTCATCATCTTAAATATTCTTTCTGTATCTAAAATGTCCCTCAGGGTCTCAAAAAAACATGTTTGAAGATGTATTAACCTCAAGAAGCAAAAGCGCAAAGAATTTTACTGATCTTTTCAGACACGCTGAGACAAATTCTTTAATCAGCATTCATAAGAAGCAAATGCCTAATGGCCATAGTCACTTTCACTTACCAGTACTCATTACAGGAACAGCTTCCATCTCTGAAATGGTGGAATCTGTTCCGATCCCTCACAATCACCATCCTACCATAAACGCTCGAAAATACCTTTGTAAAATCATGGCAATCAACGCATATCCGAAGATTCTTCGCAATTCTAAGTGTTCTTCCTGGAGCAGTAGCAAGAATTCCAAAAGCAAGAGCTATCTTCTCACTGTGATAAAAAAGTACATCCGTCTTCTCCTCCTCATCCAAATCATGCAGCTCTGAGCTCATGTTGGCCACATAACCTGCCATTTTAAGCTGCTTTCCAATCTCATCAAGCATTCCATAAATCTCTGCCTTCCTTGGATGAGAGTCATCATCAGCAACAAACTCATGAATTCTTCCATTCAGCTCCATCGTAGTGCAACCACGGCTTGTTTGAATCCCTTTCTCCTTCATCAACCCCCTTACCTCTGCCACTTTATTCCAATGACCCACAGAAGCATAGATATTGAGTAATAAGACATAATCTCCAGCTTGCTGAGCTTTTGACTCAATCAGATGCTCCATAACACGTTCGCTAAGCTCAACATATCTATGGATTCTACAAGCTCCAAGCAAAGTCCTCCAAATTGTCACATCCGGCTGAACTACCATTTCACTGACTATAAAATTGTAGGCATGATCAAGCAAACCAGCACGGCCAAAAAGATCAACCATACATCCATAATGACAAACATTGGGAGTAAGTTTATAATCAAATCTCATCGCATCAAACAAACTAATCCCTTCATCCACTAACCCAAAGTGGCTGCAAGCTGAGAGAACCCCGGTAAAGGTTTGTTCATCAGGAGCCACACCCTCCCTACAAACATTGGGAGTAAGTTTATAATCAAATCTCATCACATCAAACAAACTAATCCCTTCATCCACTAACCCACAGTGGCTGCAAGCTGAGAGAACCCCGGTAAACGTTTGTTCATCAGGAGCCACACCCTCCCTATGCATCTCCTTGAAAGCACTTATGGCTTCCCTTCCATAGCCATTCATTGCCAACCCTGAAATTATTGAACTCCAGGTAACAACATTCCTCTCAGACATGTCACGGAACACTCTATAAGCCTTCTCCATAGCCCCACTTTTTGAGTACATTACAATTAGAGAATTTCTAATATTGAGAAGGTTTCCAAATCCATGTTCTTCAACATATTTGTGCATGCGCTCACCAAAGTTGAGTGCGCCTAAGTGGGCGCATGCCTGCAGTAGGAGCAAACAAGTAATGGCGTCGGGCTTTAACCCATATTCTGGGCTCTGCATTGCGTCGAAGAGAAGCAGTGCATCTTTGGTTCGGTTATTGCAGGCAAAGCTAGAAATTAGCACGTTCCAAGTTACAGTATCTTTGTTTGGCATATCATCGAACACTGTGCGGACACTGTCCAGTTCCCTGCACAAGGAGTAAAGAGACATCAAGGAGGTGAACAGAACAGAATCTGATTGGTGGCCATCTTGGACAATCCTTCCGTGAAGCTGCTGTCCAATACATAAAGAGGAGATTTTGATGCATGAATTGAGAGCGAAGGAGGAAGAGAATGAGTTACCAGGAACACCAAGGCTTCGCATGTGCTTGTAGAAGGTGAGGGTTTTGGAAGGAGAGATGGTTTGCATGTAAGCTTTCAGAATGGTGTTGCAGACAAAGGTGTCGAGAATAAGGTATGAGCGGAGGAGTTGGGCGTGGAATTGGATGAGATTAGACTTATTAGAGGAATGAGTTTTTATGAGGGAAATAGTGTTTCTTATCAAGGTATGGTTGGGTAGATGAACAAGGGAGGAAGCCATATGCAAAGGAAGGAGCTTTCAGCGTACAGACAAATAACTCCAAATACTAATTTTATCTTCCAGAAATTTGTAGAAATCATTCCTTGATTTGATTTCTTTATCCTTATTAAGTACAGTACTCTAGACCAAGGACAATAAATTATCTTATTTTTTGAAACACGTTATTTCCTTAAAAATTATACATATATGCTCTTTTTTTTTTTAATTAGCACATTGACTGTTTTAGTGAAATTTGGTTATTAATGGTAAAGCTGTTTTATGGACCACTGATGCAAGCTCCAATAGTTGAGTTTATGTCATCAAATGAGATTGTAATGATAGATAATTAATTTCAATTTATGAGAGATCATCTATCAATATCCTTAGTATTCTCTGACATGTATAATAACCGTTGAATTCCCTTAGATGTTAACATGTTCCATCAACCGTTGGCTTCAATTTTTGATTTCATATATGTAGAGTGTCCAATCGACTAGCTCGAGGCACGAAACAATGGTCTGCGATAATTTGTCATTTCCCTGGAGAATCCGCCGTCGAGCGAGCCTACTTAGGACATCAGACATATTTGATGCCTATTATGGTGTCTAGAGGTACCTCTGTATCCATTCAGAGCCTCCTCGAGGTTAAGTGAAGTCGTGGAGCCCTCCTACGCCTCTACAAAAAAAATAGGGTTTGAAACATCTTACCTGCGTCATAGTTTAGAGCGCCCGTTGGCCAAAAATTCTCCTATAAAAATACTCTTTTTTGAAGTTAAGGGATCATAATTAAGTTACATGTGGTCTCTAGTAGTTTTGGATCCAGAAAATCATCAGTCGGGCACTCCCAATTTTAATAAGGGTTTTAGAGGCTAGATTGACCCTAGGCGCCAGACTGTGGTGCCTAGGAGCCCAAAATGCCCTTTAGGACGTCCCAAACTAAGCCCATGGATGTCTAGCGCAAGTTTCTGGCGCCTAGAAGCCCAAATGCTAAAAAGACGGTCGCTTTCCCTAGATGAGGGAAAGTAGGTATCACCTCTGTGGCGCCTAGGCGCCAGGTTCAGCGCTTAGGCGCCAGAGCCTAACTCATCACAAACCCACTAGTCAATTTGATTGCATAACTCCTGTAGCATTGAAGCTAGGAGTCATAAGACACTTTGATATTTTTTTTCTAATTAGTAAGACCCAATATTATCTATTACAACAGGAAAACCTACATGTGGGCAGGCTTTTGATCAAATAATTAAAGTGGTAGGTGGTCAATGACTTCGTAATAAATGTAGCCTTATAATACTTGGTATACTTTAATATTCATATATCTTCGTCTTGTATAGTTTAGACTTTCTAAATATTTACACTGTCGTATCCCTAATCTTAAAATGTCTAAACCCAGCTCACACTAGTAAAAGAAGGCTCACCCCTATTATTAGGTTAAGGCATTGTTGAAATGTACGTTCCTTCTCCTACTAGAAAAAAAAGAAACAATATGTATCATACTATCTATTTATTAAAACATTAACATAAGAAGTTTGGCTAGCATGCGCTTCTAATAACAAGTATGCCTCCTTAGATGACAATTATTACAATATGGCCATATGATTTCTCTCTTGAGATGAAATGCTTTCTGGATTGAGCCAAGAAAATAGGTGGGCATGCCTTTAGGAATTGCATAGTCTATTCTCCTTGCCATCAGGGGATTGAGGTTTGCTTGAAAGATAACTGATTTCGAGTAATATGATGAATCTCTAAGTGTCATATTTATTATTATATAAAAAATTGTATCACTAAGATTTTTGTTATTGTTAGGATATATTTATTTCTTTCCTATTTATCACCCTTATAAACCTCTATACAAGGCTAGACTATGAACAATTCAATTTACTGAGAGTTTTATGTTCTTTTTTCTTAAGTCTCAATATTTCTTTGTTTCATGTTATCAGAGAAAATACTTTATTTGATTTTTAATTAAAAAATATACGAGAGAACAAATTGGACCCACAAAAAATATAAGAAGATGGATTTTTCTTCCACCATATCATGCCACATCATTATTTTGGGAATTATTTTGAACTGCATACCTCTTCAATTCATATCCTAAGTAAATTTGAAGAACTTATTTCAATGGCCTCAATCAATATTGTTCTTGATGATGACAACGGGTATTGATCTCAATGGAGATATTGGACGTCAGTCATATTAGCAACGACATATGTTGGCATTGTTATCAGCGATGAATATAACTATAGGTGTCAATGATGGGTGCCAAGCTTATGGTTATCGTAGAGATTAATGTTGTATGCATACATTAGCATTGATGTTTATGCAAGTATCAACATTATTAGTAAAGGTAGACATCAAATTTTTTTAGAGATGATAACATTAATGTTGGCGTTGCAATGATGTGTGGTATCCTTGATAATGTTAATGTTATTAGTGAATTCAAACTTAGTGGAGATAATGCAAATCACTAGTCTCGAAGGTGACAATATATGCTAGCATTAGTGGAAAAGAAATGTGTTGAACTTATTAGTTATGAAAAATGCAATGTTGATCTTGATGATAAACATGAACTTTTTTCATGATAGTAGTAATCAATATTGGTGTCAATGCAAATGCAAAGTATTTGCCTTGCCTGTGATGGTAGACGTCATAGTTAATGTCAATAATTAGTGTTGGCCTTATTAGCAATGAAACTTAATAATAGTGAGCATCTGCATTGTTGAAAATGAGAGACATTAGCATTGTTGGAAATTGTGTGACAACATTTTCATCAATGATCTATAGATATTGGCCTTGTTAGTGATGGAAGGGTTCAACCTCCTTGGTGATAGTGACCACTAATATGACAATGTAAGTGTCGATATAAATGTTATGCTTGACTATTTTTATTACAAAAGGGAGACATAAAACCTAATAAGAATAGGAAATGAAAATTGATAGCGATGATATGTGTCGACCTTAATGATGAAGTGGGAAACAAACTTGATGGTGTCAGCATACATTGACCTAATTGGTGGCAGTTACAACTCTCAACATTAATGTTGACAATTGGCGAGCATTGGTTTTGTTGGCTAAGTTGAGCTTTAACATGGCTAGTGATAATTGGTAATGATGGATGATACTATTAATGATGACATTGATATACGATATTGTCAATAATTGATTAAATAAATGATTTGTGAATAGAACTCGATTAGCTAAAACCCAAGCTTCTATGACTCGATTTGTTAGCTCTCGAGCCAGCTTATTAATAGAATATTATGACATAATATAATTAAAATAACAATTTGAGTACAAAGTTACTAAAAGCTCATAACAAAATGCATTCCATAATAAAGTAATTTCTCATTACATCTCTTCTAATTTCTTTTTTATAACTTTACTAAATTAATTATTTGCATTAATATTAATTTTTATGTTTTATAATACATAAGTAGCATGTGAGCCGACTCAACCATTTTGAAATAAACTCAAGCTCAAGCTTGAAATAGAGGAATTAATCAATCTCAAGATCTAGCCAATATGGTTTGACCTTAGCTCATCCCATTATCCACCCTCAGTTGGTGTCGATAAAAGACATTATCCTTATGTATAGGTAGGCATTGGTGAGTGTGAGCTTTAACATGGCTAGTGATAATTGGTAATGATGGATGATACTATTAATGATGACATTGATATACGATATTGTCAATAATTGATTAAATAAATGATTTGTGAATAGAACTCGATTAGCTAAAACCCAAGCTTCTATGACTCGATTTGTTAGCTCTCGAGCCAGCTTATTAATAGAATATTATGACATAATATAATTAAAATAACAATTTGAGTACAAAGTTACTAAAAGCTCATAACAAAATGCATTCCAATTACTTGAATAAAGTAATTTCTCATTACATCTCTTCTAATTTCTTTTTTATAACTTTACTAAATTAATTATTTGCATTAATATTAATTTTTATGTTTTATAATACATAAGTAGCATGTGAGCCGACTCAACCATTTTGAAATAAACTCAAGCTCAAGCTTGAAATAGAGGAATTAATCAATCTCAAGATCTAGCCAATATGGTCTGACCTTGGCTCATCCCATTATCCACCCTTAGTTGGTGTCGATAAAAGACATTATCCTTATGCATAGGTAGGCATTGGCGAGTATGAGCGGTACCACATTACAAAAGTGCCCTTTTACTTAAGTTCATTAATTGGGGGTCAAAATAACATGAATATAGTGAACATTTGCTTTAGTGAAAATAACAAGCATTAAATTGGCGATCTTAGTCGTATCCTTAAGTTTGTCTTGTCAAAAAATTCATTTTGACTAAAGTTTATGAAAAATAAAGTTAGAACGAGTCCAAACTTAATTTTGAAAATCTCTACATTCGATTAGTTAAGCATAAAAAATTTGTCTTTCAATTGACATTTTTTTCTTAATGAAACATCACCTTAATCAAGGCCAATCAAAGAATTCTTTTTATGCTGAAACATTTTGTAACTACAAAAAATTTGAGATTTTAAAAAGTCTTTTATAACCAAGTATAAATTTTCACACAAAGCAGTTCAGGACATTTCAGAAGGATTGAATTGATGCTTAAATGGACTCAACTCAACTAAATGAGTACCACACAAGTTGATTTAGTTAAAAATCAGTCTTTCAATTTATTTTTGGTGTTTTTCATTCATAAAATCTCAAATTTCTGCAATTTTCAACATATTCCTCGTTCTCAAAAAGCCCATACTATCATTCTCATTTCTATATATCTTATACTCATACATCTAATATGTTCAGATAATATATAGTTCTTATTTTCATAGACTGCTTACAATCTGCTTCATAGAAACATAAGTTCCAATCACTGCAATAAAAACTCCCACCACCAAAATAGCCAAAATCATCACCAACTCCAGACCCCAACGCCTGGAACTCTTAAATATCTTAAGGTAGCACAGAGATGGCAGAACCATTGTTGCACTGCTACTGAGAAAAGAACCAGTAAGAGCTACGACATATCCGAAATATGGCACAGTTAGTGCTATAATTACAGTGCTAATCAGGATTACAGTCCGGATTAGAATGCCAATGAATCTGCTCTTTGAGACCTGGAGCCACTCTTCAATGGCGTTCACAAGTGGGGTAATTATGAGAGCATATTTGGCTAATGGGTTGATCAAAGTGGTGTAGATTGCAATTTTGGAGCTCATGTTTTCCACTGGAAGGTTCAATGTTACTTGAGATTTTGTAGCTTGGCCAAACATGAGGTATCCCACGACTGCCATTACTCCATAGTTGATGGTGCAGACAGCAAAACTGACAAACAAAACCTGCAATACAAAAGATGGGAAAATCATTTTAGGAAGATGAAGTGTTGGGATTGGGGAGTGAATTTCAGACAAATGAAATGCGAAAGGACCTGCAACTAATTAGTTAAAATAGAATGTTGTGCATAAAAAGCTCGTATTTTACGATTTGCTGCAGTCAGAAGAAAATGATAAAATGTTAGACTGGTTTTCATGTTATTTATACATCATTTTTGTCTTGAAGTATATAGAAATGTCAACTTAATTTCTAAACTGTACTAGTCTGTTCTTCTAAAAGAGATGATGGGAGACTGTTTCAGCATAAGTTAAAGAGACCAAGGACTAAAATCTGATATTTTAAACATTTTTGAGATTAAATTGTTTTGCTCTGTAAAAGTTTTCAATCACTCGAATATTTTTCCAAAAAAAAAAAAAGTAAATAAACAGAGGAAGATTTACATACATATACTACACAATGCTTTTGTATTTACAAATCTAACACCTAAACATCCATTTTTACTCATATGTCATCTTTCTTATACATGAAAAGAGTGTATTTCACTTTTTAAAAGTTAAAATAGTGGCATTTTTTATGTGATGTGAAAGATTTGGGTGATGTTAACATAATACGTAAAGCTTAGGTGTTAGATATGTAAATACATATATTAGTAAGCGGCATGTATGTAAATGCCCCACAAATAAAATAAAACTCTAGGAGGATCAACTTTTGTTTAGCACCTAAAGTGAACTCCTCAATTATTTTATATGTACATTTTTATAAGTGTAAGCAAAACCCAAAAAAAAATAATAAAGCTCCCTTTTGTTCTATATAACAAAATAATAATAACATCACAATTTCGGACATCAAATCTCAAAGTGTCACATCATCTTCAATTTTGCCGCACGATGATGTGATATTCTGTGATTTACTTTTCGGATATATGAACATCCGGATGTAATATTATCTTCAACTAAAGATGATTAGTATACTCAACCCCACCTCCTCATCACATAAAAGTGATTTCTTTAATTCATGCACATGACTGAACTAATCACAATATAAGACAAAAAAATAATGAAAAATTTTTAAAAAAATCAACAAAAACGGCCTTTTTGATCAATATATCTATTTATCACAACTGCAAAAAAAAAGTTTTTTTTTTTTACCTTAGGAGTGCATAAATCAGAATATCAATTACAAGAAAATGTAAAAACATAACATGTTTCCATCTTATCAAGGTCCATTATATAAAACTTGCAGATTTATCAGTACTTACGCGAGAGAACTTGGTTTTATCCGCCATTGATGCATATATTGTAGGATAGACTGAATGTCCACTGTAACAGAAAGCAAATAAGCTCAACGCAGTAGGAATTCCACTCCACTTCATCACACTCCCCCTTTCATGAAACCCAACTCCCCCAACTCCTCCCACCCACATAACAGAGAAAACCAATATAAGAGAAGCCATTACTCCCCCCACCGACCCATAACAAAGCAACCCCATAGAAATTAGAGTTCTGGCTAAAAAATGTAGAAAGTTGAGTGATCGTGAACAATTGAATTAGTCGTTCGTAATAATAGGGGAGATTGAGTGATCCGGAAGTTGCAAGCCAGATAACCGATAATTGATGTTAAGTAGTGGCAACAAATTGCACTCATTTTGGTTGATGAGTGGCATCAAGTGATAACAAGCAAAGCTCACAAATCACCATAGCTCGTGCGGTCATGTTGTTCCGCTCCCTTTATTACATAGAAATAGTGTTGGCTCAAATCCCATCGTGCATCTATTTTTCTAATAAATATAAAGGACCCTATTTTGAGCCTAGCACAAATAATAATTTATAAATCAAGTTAAATGCAAATACGCTGATCACGAGCAATTTCAAACAAAATTAATTTCAACTAATTAAAACACTCGTTCTAACTATAACTACACAAAAATTGAACGACATTGACCTTTAAATTGTATTAGAAAAATTCCAATTTTTTTTTCAAGTAGTTTATTTAGAATAATTCGAACTCCAATTCAGAAGTTTTGATAATTATCTATGTTATGAATTTGTATAAATCTTTGACTAAAATACATATATATTTTGATTTTTAAAAATTGAATCAAATTTTTCTCTTGACCAAACAAATTTTTTTGGTAATGTATCAATGTATAAATACATGAATGCTATATATATATATATATGTCGAAATATGCATCAACTTTAATTTATTGCATGCAATATAGAATAATAAATGGAAAATGAACCATGCATATATCTATATATATATATATATGTCCAGAATAATTGCATAGCGAAGTTAGAAGTACATATACACATAAGTGAGGAAAATAAAACCTGAGAGAGCATTTACTCCATTGAAGCAAGTTCTAAAGAAGCTGCTACCAGCTTTGGAGGGTGAATGGGGATCCATTATTTACTTAATATTTAGCCTCTGGCTTGCAGAAGGTTACAGTGGATCAGAGCAAGCGAAGTGGTTTCTTATATAATATGCATTAGCTTAATATTAGAAGAGAAATACAGGCAAGAGGCAGGGACAGTGTTATTGATGATGAGTAGACAGCCATTCATGTTACATTTTATTTTTCTTGGAAATAAAAATCATAAGTGACAAAATATGTGGCTCAAATTTGTGATCTTGGAGGTATAACTATCATCATTTAACCAGTGAGTACCTGTCCTTTCATAATTTACAAGAATCCTTTTTGAGGGGTTCAAAAAGTAATGATTTTTCTTTTTTTTTTTTTTTTTTTGAAAAAATTGAATGTCAAAATATAAATTTGATATAGGAGAAATTTAATCTCAAAATATGTATTGATAAACTGAGCTGGTACCCATACTTCTGTGATTTCTCCTCTTATGATTAATTGTCCCCACTAACTTTTCCTTGGTGGAAAGTCTAAGTATGAATTCTATCTATTCTTGTTGCTAATAGCTATTGCATGCAAAATGGCCACTTCTTTTTCTTGTGGGGTAGGTCTGACAAGGCATGATTTATAGACAACTTAGAATAGTAAAATGAAGGGTTTATGAACTCTATTTTATATGATGCGGTCATTATCACTGAACCATTCTAATATTGGGGAGGAATAAGTTTTGTTAATATATTTTGCATTATTGGAGTGACTTCATAGTTATTGTAATTGTTATCTGATTTTCTTGACATAAGCTGAACTATATGTAAAAATTAGTTCCAAGTGTTGCACCAATTTGATTTAGGGAGCTTGAGTTGCAGCATCAAAGTTAGGACTTGTAAACTAATAATCAAATTAATACCAAAATTTAAAGAAAAAAATGTGCATATGAGAAGTGAAAGAATTCAAATCTTATGTATGTGTGAGAAAAAAGCTTGTCTTGTGATAGGAGAATTGAATGGTAAAAGTATAATTTCATATGTAGTTACTAAGGACATTTCACTAAAAGTAGGCAGTGGGATACCCCTAGCCTCTAATTCAAACACTGATTATTGGCATGTGTAAGGCAATCTTTAATATTTCTATAATATGTTTTTCAATAATTTGTTATAAGAAAGAATTATTATTATTTAGTGCGGCAAAATAGATTACATTAAATTTAAGAAGATACCTAGTTATAGAAGAATTGAAGGTTGATAGCGCCTAACACATGTCCACCAAATCTGCATCTCCATCTGCACTATCTTCATAGTTTTGTATCATGGTGTGGCTCATCCCTGATCTTAACCTTCCTAAACCCAATTGAAGCTAAGCATAGCTCCAACTTCTTGGTAATTACCTCCTTTGTTATTATATCTACAGGATTCTGAGTTATGCGTATCTTTTCTAAAAATTAACTACCCATCTTTCAGGAGAGAGCCAAAAAGTGATATCTCAACTGTATATGTTGTGTCTAGGTATAAAAAGTGACATTCTTAGCAAGATGTATAACACTTATACAATCACTATGAAACTTTCCAATCCCTTTCTCCTTGTCTAATTCTGTCATGAAGCTATATAGCCAAATCATTTCCTTGCTAGCCTCAATTATAGTAATATATTCGGCCTTCGTAATTGAAAATACAATAATTTTTTACAGACTGGAAAACCAACTCACCATTGTGTTCTCCAAAGGGAAGATATACAATGTTGCACGCATTCTACCATCCAAATTTTATGTTGAATATGAATCTTCAAATCCCGGTAGATTGGTCCCTACACTTCAATAGTAATGTGTCATGTTCACTGTTCCCCTCAAATACTCAAGAATCCACTTCATCACCTCCCAATGATGTATGCTTGGATTGCTCATGTATATGCTAACCACTCCCACTAAATATGCAATATCTTGTATTGTGCAAATCATATAGATCAAACTTCCAGTTATTGAAACATATAGAGTTCTCTATATTTGTGCTTGTTATGCTTCAAACGCAGGTGATAACTCCTTAAATAGCTTGAAGTTAATACATAATGGTGTACAGACTGGATTTGTCTCACCCATGTTGAACCTTTGTAGAATCTTCTCAATACAATCTATGTAAGATAATTTCAGTGTACTCGCCGTACTGTCCCTGTTGATTCTCATTATGAGATTCTATTTGGTTGGACCTAAGTCCTTCATCTTAAACTCACTTAATAATTGCTCCTTTAAGTCCCTAATTTTTTCATATTTGCCTTTGTAATTAACATGTCATCCTCATACAAAATGAGCAAGATATAATATTTACTATAGTTTTTAATGAAGAAATAGTGATTTGTCTAGCACTTCTTCTACACACTATCTTACATGGACCTATCAAACATTTTATACCACTGCCTCCGACCTACTTTAAGCCATAGAGAATTTTTTTCAATCTCTGGACCAAATATTCTTTCCATCGAACCTCTTAACCTTATGATTGCCCCATGCATAATTCCACATCTAGATTGCAACGTAGGAAAACTATTTTACATTCATTTTCTCCAGATGTATAACTTTCTATGCTACTAAGCTTAACACAACCCTGATAGTTTTCATCTTCACCATAGAACAAAAAATTTCAGTGTAGTCCTCTTATTCTTTTTGCTAAAATCCCTTCACAATAAGTCTTACTTTATTGTAAAGAGATTCCTTTCTTGTCTTCCAACACTAGCCTTTCTTGGAGCTTTGTAATTGTTCATGGAATGCATTTTCTTTCATAGGACTAATATTCCCCTCTGTCATTTTCTCTTTTGAACTTGAACTTTCCTTTTGAACTTGAATCTATCCCTATCTGTATTCATGTCCAGATTCTTTCCCCTATTTTCAACATTCAATATAAAACATGAAGGTTCATCATGCACTGTATTTCTGCTAATTTTTTTATTCAGCACCAACCACACAATTTCATCAAAGCTTGACTTAAAATTCCCAGAAGAGTTAATTACCGTTGGGAGCAAACCATCCCAAATATTCGATAATGAAGACACACTTAACATGGCTCTGATCTCATCATCAAATTTGATCCCTGTAGAACACAACTGACTAGTTACGATGTTGAAATTGTTCAAGTGTTCCAACAATGAACTGTTTTTCATCATCTTCATATCAAAAGACCTCTTCCTCAGAATAACTTTATTTGAAGTAAAAAGTATTTCATACATCTTTGTAAGTGCTTTCATGAGACCCACCAAGATTTTTTCACTCGCTATATTAAATGCAGAATATGAGTAAAGTGACAAATAGGTCAAATTTAAGGTACTCATTCAGTCCCACACTTCCCATTCAGGCTTCTCGGTGATTCCTTATAGTGACAAATATAATTCTTTTTTATACAACAAATCCTTCACAATTACATCCTCCATAGCATGAAGTTCGGTCCATTGAACTTCTCTATTTTGTATCTTGTTTCGTCGACAGAACTCATATTCAATGACCTGGCAAATATATATATATAATCTGCTAAAGTACCTTTAATGTACTCTTACAATCACTAACCAAAGAAATTTCACGCCAGTTAAGTTTTGTTCTCATCATAGTCGTTAATTAAATATGAATCATCAGTTCTTCTGCTACTTTCTGTAGGGAGAAATCTGCCCAGTTTTTAAGCTTTAAAGCTAGCCACAGTTGACTTTGTTGGTTGGTGTTCATTGAACATAGTATTTTATCTTTTTGAATTTGTCTTTTGGGCCAATATAGCTTAATTCATTTGAAATGAATGAGCCTTTCTCATCAATATCGAGACTAGATTAATAATGACAATATTAACATAAACAAGGTTATAAATTATGCCATTACAGCAGCATTCAGATAATCTCATAAGCACCAATGGATGGGTTAAATATCCATTATGGTTTTTAGTATTTATAAAACATATAAGGTTTGTAGAGTATGATGTCTGCTAAAAGATTAGTTTCCACTAATGCTTTTTTTTAAACCATAATCCATATACCTTACTCCTCATTGTTCGGTGAGGTTTAGGTGATTTGAGTCTAGTCATTATTGAAGACTTTAGTTGCTTTTATTTATTTATTTAACAGCTTAATAATCCATACCAAATAGAAAAGAGATCAAACTC